GAGTTTATGTTTGTTAATGGTCACATGACATGAAAGTAAACAAATTACATTACTTTAAAAAGTAAAGTAATAAAAGAACACTTACTTAAAGGGGTCCTATTATGCTCTTTTACAATGTCTTGATTTTGTTTTGTGGGTGTACTAGAACATGCTCTCACGCTTGGTGGTTCGAAAAACGCATTATTTTTTACATAATTTACATTATTACAATACCTTTCTCCCCATCCTGGCACAAACGGCTCGATTAGTTCCGGGTTTGATGAAGGCCCGCCTTCCGAAAAACGAAATGTGATGTGATTGTTTAGCTGTCCCAGTTAAAAAACGAAATATCTCCCTTTGGAGTGGACTTTTGAGATTTGTAAGTTTGAAGATTTTTTTTTTTATGCCCAAACATACACACTACACACTGACTAAAATTCAAAAAGTGAAAAAACATAATAGGACCCCTTTAAAGATGAAAATATGTTTGCTTGGTAATTACCTTTCCTAATATTTCCGGTAATTTCCATTATAATTTTATTCTATTGTTCCGTTAGCCCCTAAAGGCCGTCATCAAGCACAGTGATGGGAGCTCAGAAACCATTGAGTTGAACCACACCTTCAACGAAACCCAGATTGAGTGGTTCCAGGCTGGCTCCGCCCTCAACAGAATGAAGGAGCTGCAGAAATGAGCGTGATTGGCTATAAATATACATATTTGGGAGGGGAAGGGGTTATGCTTCATACAGGAGGATATGGTATGTGTATGAAAGGTTTAAATACTCATGTAATTATGAACAGAATTATACACAATACATAAAATACATGTACGTGTTGCATAGACAAGTCATGTCAATACTGTTCAAAGCTATATAATACATTGCAGAGCAGATAAAAGGTATTAAGTTTTGCAACTGTAATGCTTATAAATTACAAGCTGGGTCAGTGTGTATTACAGAATGGTTCATTAAACAAAAACAAAAAGTTAGCCTACAAAAAATGGTAGGCGCATGCTTGTTAGTGGGAGTTTAATTCATAAAATCCAAATATCTGTTCAGGCAACTGTTGATTATTAATTTCTGCTGTTTGTAATATGACACTGAACTGTAATGGGAGCTGCTTGTGAATTTTCTGTCCTGTAATCAGCTTTATTAATGGATTCTTTTACTTCACATGATTCTGTTAGCAGAGATGTTCAACCATTCATAATAATTGTTCTTATTCACGCAAGCTTGAAACTTGACCGGTTATTGTTGTTCATGTAGCTATTCTTACTGTGAGTCAGAGTGACATGTCTATGCCTATTCTTCAAGACCCTGGCAGATCTTGACATCACACCACCACTATCAAATGTGTCTGGTACTGAGTGCACCGCAGGTCAAGTTTATAAACGTTTTAAACGGAATGCTTATTTATAAACATGTGCAAAGAATCTCCAATGTGCATTATCTTTAGTGTTTTGGATGCGTTATTGAGTAATGGATCAGTAATCAGACCTCCAATCTCTTGAGCACTTTTCCTGTATATTTGAGTGCCCTTTTTTGTAGGGTTGTATTTCCCCCCCCCCCTTTCAAACCGAGCCATACCCATGTCAAAGCAATGACGTCAATCCCTCTGATCAGCTGACTATAGCAGCTGCTTGTGCTTTCAAGATACCAAGAGGTAAATGACTAGCTTTGTCTGACTCAACACGTTCATCCTCATCAGATGAACTTTTACTGTTATATGAATTCTAGCCAGTGCAGTAAATGTAAAAAAAATACTGCCTTGGATGTATTTTTAGCTCTGTGAAAGGAATAATGGTTTTCGTGCTGCTTGCAACACCCCACAAACACATCCTCTTGATCATAACTCCATTATTTTCATTCTTTTTTTCCCCGTTATTGAGGAAATGAATGCTGATTGGTCACAGTGGATTATAAAATAAAAGTCATTTAAAATAAATTAGTCTTTTGTGTGTATAAAGATTAAATGTATACTGTGAAAAAAATATTAGAAATGTGTAAAATATTATTTGGAAAATATTTAGCTTGTATTATGTTGGACTGTTTTCTACTCCCTATAGTACTGAACTGTTTGAATTATTTAAATCATTTTTATTTAGTTTATTTCTTGTTTATTTTGTATATTTTTACACCCTCTCCCTTGGGTACGGCTGGTGGTCACCTGACCCCAGTTTGAAACCCCCTGAGGTACACAATATGTAGTTACGTACTTATTATATGCACTTAAATTATTCTCTATTACAGTATTTAAAACATGAATAACAAGCTTCACATCTACACTGCGTCGCGTCAAAACCTTGAACTCGCCTGTATTACGTAATGGGCGCTCTGATTGGTCGACTGTAGACTGACGTCAGGATTCTGTCGCTTGCATCAGTGTAGTGTCGTTGATTATAATTGGAGCGTTTTTGTTTTCTCGCGCCGCGTCTCTCGCGTTCAATTTTGATGGGGTGTCCCTCCCTCTCCTCCGGTAACCTCATTTATTGTGTGCTACGTAGGGGTCCCTTGAATTGAATATGTGGACCACGGATGATAGTACTCAGGCATTTAATACTGGATTCTAATGAAGCTATGTAGAAATATTTGTATATTTGTATCAGCAGCGCAAGCGATATCAACCGGCAGACATTACGGTAAGAATTTCATCGTCCTATTATATTTTCCTGTCCGTATATATTACCGTTGATTAAATACGCCTTTACTGTTATGATGGCGCATACCGTGGACTACGTTTGTCAACAACCATCATTGTGGAGCGCAGGTTGATAATATGATAATAAAACACACGTACTCACCGTTTAAACAGATGTGGTCATCACCAACCTGTCTTCCGGAAGGAAGCATGAGACCTGGTCTGGGCAAGTTATCAGCTCCTAGCTCACACATTCAGAGCCCAACAGAAGAATAAAGGCAGAGAGGGAGAGATAAAGGAAGGGTTTAACTTGAGGTGCTAATGTTGGCGTAAAATGGTGTTGTGTGTAAGTAAGATAGGGATGGAATAGCAATTAGGTTTATGCAACTGTTGTTTTCTCCAGTCTGGCAAATAAGCAACAGGAAGTTGGTGAGAAGTCAGACGCAAGTCAGCTGAGCTTTAATATAGCATTGGCAGAACATAACATAACTGTGAAACAAAAAGCAGCAGTGTTTCCCTTGTTTGAAATTGTGTCCTTTATATGTAATTAATTGTGTATTTATTTTCACTTTATGTACAGAGACATTTGAGTTCATTGTGATGTGTATGGTCAAGTCATTTATGTAAAACCGATTTCCTAAAATAAATAAATGCACATCAATGGAAACTTCCATTTCTTTAATTGTGATTGATAGGACTGATATTAGTTTTCTGTAAGAAAGCTACAAATCCCAGTAGTTCATTTTGTCAAGAACAATGCTTCTTATGATAATTCTAATAAAACTGAAAGAACATGATGCAGTGTTTTTTCTTGATATTTCTTTATATCAAAATTTCAGTTATGACTTTATTCTACTTTCCGGTTTTCAGATTTTTACAAACAATTTTAAATTCCATACAGGTTATGTAAATGACGTGCTTGTAAAGATAAAATGCAACTGTGAAAATATGGAGACTGCCAAAGTAAATGCATAATCAGGAATTAAAATAAATATGATATATTGAATTAATTTTAATTATATGTATAACAACAAATATAAATATTTATTAAATATACATAGAAAAAGAAATACACATATTATGCAGTATTATCCAGTGTCAAAAACTTAAAATGTTCACCAATGTCAAATGTGTGTATTGGCGGAAAGGAAGCGAGCCGCATGTGTACAAATGACCATTAGAGGGAGCAGTACATCATAAAAACTAGATATTGAAAGCAATACAAAAAACTACAGTAGGCCTACAAAAGGATAATACATTTTTATTTACACATTTTACACTTTTATAATACATTTTATATTGCACCCTTAGCTCATAAACCAGCAACTAGTTATGGGGCAATTCTACAAAGAAACAGCTACTTTTCTTTATCACCTTATAAAATCACACATTTATTTATGTGCATGTTTGCTAGAAGAGAATGACTAGTTAAAAAAAAAAAAAGATAGATAGCTAGATAGGCTATGACTTATGATGTCTGCTGACGTCTTATGGCCCAGATTACAAAAAGATTTACTTCACATATTTTTCTCAGAAGTCGTAAATGAAACGGAACCATAAATATATGAACTGCCAAGACTATTGTTTGATATGATAAATCATTATTGAGGGGAAGCACCAGGTACATAAACGTGTTGGAAAGGAACGTGTATAAGCACAAAGCAACGAGTGTGGCACATTCAAGTACATTTAACAAGAAAAAAGATAAAGGTTATAATGAAGTGTGCTTTTTTAATTTTATTGATTTATTTTTATTCAGCGTTTTTAGCTGTCCTTAAGTAGAAAGGCAACACACATTTTAGTATATTCTAAAACACCAACAAATACACAATCCCGGGCATAAATTAAACCTTAAAATTGCATTTAAATAATATATTGTATATAATATATTCAATATATAAAATAAAAATTTAAATGTAGACATGCAAATAATAAACTTAAGCACAACAAATCGTAACATGCATCAGAGAGTAATTTATGTATTTTCCTGCTCTCAGCTGGGAAAACAAACACAGGTGCTTCATTCTGATTGCTTTTATGATGCATCCATTTATCACGGGACAATGGTTTTATGACTCAACCTTTGTCCTTCACTCCTTCTCACCGTCCTCTGCACAATAGTGTTCAATAGACCCTTAGAGCTTCTGCTTTAGTTGCTTTGACAGAATTGGATTACTTACAGATAGATTCATATATGTATATAAAAGCTTCTCTATGAGAGTATTAATGAGGCCTAAACTTTCACTCTTACTGACAGTCACTGTGTGAGCTAGCCTAGTGAACTAGCTCTATAGACAGCAAAAAAAAGCTGTCTGGCTGGAAATGTGCCCATAAATGCTGTCTATGTAGGCAGCACACTAGGTTTTGAGACACGACTACTGACTATGTTGTTCATTAACACGCTCAGGTGAGAGCAGAGTGATCAGTGTGAAAGCGAGCCTGTCTAGGACAAAAGACTAGATTGGATAAAAGTCTTTATTGTTTTTCTTCTACATTTTCCATTCTTGGAATATAAATGAAGTCTGCTGGATTTAACTCAGAAAATAGCTGAACAACTACAAACACGTTTTAATGAAAACCAATTCGAAGTAAACATTTTGCTGACCTCAAAGGCCGAGAGACTTTATTTTTTGTCTTTTTGCCTTCTTAACATTTGAATATGGATTACCGTATCTGGTTATTTGCATGTCTATCATGGACACTACTAAAGCAAAGTCACTTTATGAAAGAGTCTTGCTTTAATGGAACACTTCTGATGAATGTTATTTTATTGGATGACGATGTGTCGCCCTGGAGTATCAATTTTGTAAAGCCTGCGGTGCTGAGAGCTGTTGGAAATGATTCTGAGATCTCTGAAGATGGTAAAGTATGATCCTAACTTAGCAAAATATGAAGAGAGACTATTTAAATTACTATAGCAAGCCTTTTTAGCTTAAAATACAATTACAATTAGAGCTCTGCAATTGCATTCTTACTTGTAAAAACTGAATTAGAGAGCTCTACAATTCAGCTCTTACTAGTAAAAATTATCATTAGAGAGCTCTCTAATTCAATTGTTTCTATAGTAACAGTTGAATTATAGAGCTCTCTAATTCAAATTTGACTAGTAAAAATTAAAGTTAGAGAGCTCTTTAATGCAATTTGTACTAGTAACAATTGAATTAGAGAACTCTCTAACCGAATTAGAGAGCTCTGAAATTGCATTCTTACTAGTAACAATTCAATTAGAGAGCTCTACAATATCTATTCTTACTAGTAAAAACTGAATTAGAGAGCTCTTTAATTCAGTTACAGAGCTCTGCAATTAAACATATCTTTAATGTGTTTTTTACTAGTAAAAATTGAATTAGAGAGCTCTGTAATTGCATTTTTACTAGAAAGAATTAAATTAGCTCTCTAATCAGAATTGTTACTAGTAAAAATTTAATTAGAGAGCTCTCTACTTGGAATTATTACTAGTAAAATTTACTTAGAGAGCTCTCTAATTGGAATAGTTACTAGTACGAATTAAATTGTAATTCTTACTAGTAAAAATTCAGTTGGAGAGCAATTTAAAAAGTCAATGGAGACATATGTATGGCAAGCCATTTTAGCTTAAAATAGTCCCAGCGTTACTCGTCGTAATTGCATTTTTACTAGTAACAATTCAATTAGAGAGCTCTACAATTAAATTCTTACTAGTAACAATGCCAATTACAGAGCTCTCTAATTAAATTCTTACTAGTAACAATTCCAATTAAAGAGCTCTACAAATGAATTTTTACTAGTCATATGTCTCCATTGACTTCCATTCATTTTTAATTACAGAGCTCTACAACAGAATTTTTACTAGTAATAATTACAATTCGAGAGCTCTCTAAATCAATTTTTACTAGTAATAATTCAAATTAGAGAGCTCTCTAATTCAATTGTTACTGTAATGGCTGAATTAGAGAGCTCTTTAATTCAAGTACAGAGCTCTGCAATTAAACATATCTTTAATGTGGTTTTTACTAGTATAAAAATTAATTATAGAGCTCTGTAATTGCATTTTTACTAGTAAGAATTAAATTAGAGAGCTCTCAAATCAGAATTGTTACTAGTAAAAATTTTAATTAGAGAGCTCTCTAATTGGCATTGTTACTAAGAATTTAATTGTAGAGCTCTTTAATTGAATTATATAGTAAAAATGCAATTACAACGAGTAAGACTGGGAATATTTTAAGCTAAAACGGCTTGCCATAAATTACAGTCTTGCAAAGTCATAGCCTAATTGTGTTAAACAAAAGAAACATAAGATTTTATGACAACTACTATTGTTTAAATATGAAATGTAGTTCAGTTTGAAATAATCATGTTAATTCTAAATTGGTATTATAGTTTGAATCTAATTAGTTTCTTTTTCCACCTTTTTTTCTAGAGGTGAATCCCCAATTAGAGGTAAAATTCAGAGGGTTTAAAACCATTTACTACTTGAAAAAAGGCTGCGCCAGTAGCGCCTGTGAGGGGGTTGAAATTTTAAATGATCTTGCGGTCAGTTCTGGTCTTCTTAATTCCTTTGACATACTTTATAGAAACTATATAAAGTGTCTTCCCACTGATCGTTGTGATTTCTTTCTAGAATGCAGGGGAGGAGGGATGTGCTTTGCTGGGACCAACCTGCACTTACGCCACTTTCCAAATGGTTGAGTATGTTAGATTTTACTTTTACAGATCTTTGTCTGTATTTCCTTGGTTTCTTGCTTTAGATCTTGCTATAGATCCTCAGAAGATCCTTAGGTCTGCCTAAATCCTTAGAAATCCATTTCTTGTGAAAAAGTTAATTTTATTATCTAATTATTATATCTATTGATATAATATATGATATATATTATATCTATTATCTAATTTTATTAACTTTTATTATTTTATTAACTTTATGCACTTGTTGGTATTTTGAATCTTAAAAGTATATTTTTTTAAAAACTGGACTTGCAGATAATATAAATTAAATAAAAGTCCACTTTAATGAGTTTTGCAACACTTGCACTTTTCAAAATTGCACTTTGTTATAGTTTCCAATTAAAAGTTTTACATTTACATTTTAAATCATTATGTTTTAGTAATCTTTTGTTGTGCTTTAAAGAAGTATTTTGATGTCTTGATTAACATACTAAACCACAGGATTATAATTTTAACTGTAGTGTTTTATTCAATATTACATTTAAAATTAATATATTTTAAATATACTAAACTGCAGCTATTTAAATACATGATGAATGTTTCAATAGAAATTACATTAAAGTATATTTAAGTTTACCATAAATACATTCAGTACATTTAGCAGTTACACTTTAACCCTATTTCAAAGACAATAGAAGTAATTTTGAAATGACATATAAAACTTTACTTAAGTTCGTCAAAAAAGCAATCTTAAGTTCAAGGAGTTGAATTTATATAGATTTAAATAATACATTTTCAATAACATCCATTTAAGTGTTATGATATGAGTTATGGATTAAGTTATTAACTCAAACCATTTAGAGTAGCAGATTACTACTTAGAAAGCAGGTACTGTTGACCAACTAAACTAAAAATAAAAAATATGCTATTTAATGACTGAAAGTTAGTGTAAGATTAGAAAACGATCATAAAGCAAAAACTTTGGTCAATTTCCGTGCCATCTGAAACTGAGTTTACTGTAGCTGGAAGAACATGTGATTTGTGTGTGACCACTTTTGTAGTTATATATATGTATGTATGTATAGTAAATATGCATATTGTTTAAAATATGCATATTGACTAATGGATGCTGAAATATTTAAATATAATAAAAATAATTGTTCTTTTATTGTAAAATGGCATGGAGAATAGATGCATTAGAAACGATGAACCATGTATTGTTGTGTTAATTTCAGTGAAACATAAAGAGACATTTTGCGCTTCTTATTACCAAAAAGAAGTGTTATAAGTTGATCTAGAGCCTCTTTACTCTGGTATTTTGTCAGATCTGTAAGAGCCAAATCTGGACCTGGCTTCAAAGGCATTTGCAAGAACTTCTCAAGGTCACAAGGTCATGGTTTCATTCGCCCCTCCCATGGAGGAGAAGACATATTTGTTCACATCTCAGAGTAAGTATAAAGAGAGAATTTTTATTACGTTTTAAATTATTATATTATATTATATTATACTCTTTCTTTTTAGTATTGAGGGGGAATATGTGCCAATGGAGGGGGATGAGGTGACCTACAAAGTGTGTCCTGTTCCTCCCAAGAACATAAAGTTCCAAGCCGTTGATGTGGTCATCACCAACCTGTCTTCCGGAAGGAAGCATGAGACCTGGTCTGGGCAAGTTATCAGCTCCTAGCTCACACATTCAGAGCCCAACAGAAGAATAAAGGCAGAGAGGGAGAGATAAAGGAAGGGTTTAACTTGAGGTGCTAATGTTGGCGTAAAATGGTGTTGTGTGTAAGTAAGATAGGGATGGAATAGCAATTAGGTTTATGCAACTGTTGTTTTCTCCAGTCTGGCAAATAAGCAACAGGAAGTTGGTGAGAAGTCAGACGCAAGTCAGCTGAGCTTTAATATAGCATTGGCAGAACATAACATAACTGTGAAACAAAAAGCAGCAGTGTTTCCCTTGTTTGAAATTGTGTCCTTTATATGTAATTAATTGTGTATTTATTTTCACTTTATGTACAGAGACATTTGAGTTCATTGTGATGTGTATGGTCAAGTCATTTATGTAAAACCGATTTCCTAAAATAAATAAATGCACATCAATGGAAACTTCCATTTCTTTAATTGTGATTGATAGGACTGATATTAGTTTTCTGTAAGAAAGCTACAAATCCCAGTAGTTCATTTTGTCAAGAACAATGCTTCTTATGATAATTCTAATAAAACTGAAAGAACATGATGCAGTGTTTTTTCTTGATATTTCTTTATATCAAAATTTCAGTTATGACTTTATTCTACTTTCCGGTTTTCAGATTTTTACAAACAATTTTAAATTCCATACAGGTTATGTAAATGACGTGCTTGTAAAGATAAAATGCAACTGTGAAAATATGGAGACTGCCAAAGTAAATGCATAATCAGGAATTAAAATAAATATGATATATTGAATTAATTTTAATTATATGTATAACAACAAATATAAATATTTATTAAATATACATAGAAAAAGAAATACACATATTATGCAGTATTATCCAGTGTCAAAAACTTAAAATGTTCACCAATGTCAAATGTGTGTATTGGCGGAAAGGAAGCGAGCCGCATGTGTACAAATGACCATTAGAGGGAGCAGTACATCATAAAAACTAGATATTGAAAGCAATACAAAAAACTACAGTAGGCCTACAAAAGGATAATACATTTTTATTTACACATTTTACACTTTTATAATACATTTTATATTGCACCCTTAGCTCATAAACCAGCAACTAGTTATGGGGCAATTCTACAAAGAAACAGCTACTTTTCTTTATCACCTTATAAAATCACACATTTATTTATGTGCATGTTTGCTAGAAGAGAATGACTAGTTAAAAAAAAAAAAAGATAGATAGCTAGATAGGCTATGACTTATGATGTCTGCTGACGTCTTATGGCCCAGATTACAAAAAGATTTACTTCACATATTTTTCTCAGAAGTCGTAAATGAAACGGAACCATAAATATATGAACTGCCAAGACTATTGTTTGATATGATAAATCATTATTGAGGGGAAGCACCAGGTACATAAACGTGTTGGAAAGGAACGTGTATAAGCACAAAGCAACGAGTGTGGCACATTCAAGTACATTTAACAAGAAAAAAGATAAAGGTTATAATGAAGTGTGCTTTTTTAATTTTATTGATTTATTTTTATTCAGCGTTTTTAGCTGTCCTTAAGTAGAAAGGCAACACACATTTTAGTATATTCTAAAACACCAACAAATACACAATCCCGGGCATAAATTAAACCTTAAAATTGCATTTAAATAATATATGGTATATAATATATTCAATATATAAAATAAAAATTTAAATGTAGACATGCAAATAATAAACTTAAGCACAACAAATCGTAACATGCATCAGAGAGTAATTTATGTATTTTCCTGCTCTCAGCTGGGAAAACAAACACAGGTGCTTCATTCTGATTGCTTTTATGATGCATCCATTTATCACGGGACAATGGTTTTATGACTCAACCTTTGTCCTTCACTCCTTCTCACCGTCCTCTGCACAATAGTGTTCAATAGACCCTTAGAGCTTCTGCTTTAGTTGCTTTGACAGAATTGGATTACTTACAGATAGATTCATATATGTATATAAAAGCTTCTCTATGAGAGTATTAATGAGGCCTAAACTTTCACTCTTACTGACAGTCACTGTGTGAGCTAGCCTAGTGAACTAGCTCTATAGACAGCAAAAAAAAGCTGTCTGGCTGGAAATGTGCCCATAAATGCTGTCTATGTAGGCAGCACACTAGGTTTTGAGACACGACTACTGACTATGTTGTTCATTAACACGCTCAGGTGAGAGCAGAGTGATCAGTGTGAAAGCGAGCCTGTCTAGGACAAAAGACTAGATTGGATAAAAGTCTTTATTGTTTTTCTTCTACATTTTCCATTCTTGGAATATAAATGAAGTCTGCTGGATTTAACTCAGAAAATAGCTGAACAACTACAAACACGTTTTAATGAAAACCAATTCGAAGTAAACATTTTGCTGACCTCAAAGGCCGAGAGACTTTATTTTTTGTCTTTTTGCCTTCTTAACATTTGAATATGGATTACCGTATCTGGTTATTTGCATGTCTATCATGGACACTACTAAAGCAAAGTCACTTTATGAAAGAGTCTTGCTTTAATGGAACACTTCTGATGAATGTTATTTTATTGGATGACGATGTGTCGCCCTGGAGTATCAATTTTGTAAAGCCTGCGGTGCTGAGAGCTGTTGGAAATGATTCTGAGATCTCTGAAGATGGTAAAGTATGATCCTAACTTAGCAAAATATGAAGAGAGACTATTTAAATTACTATAGCAAGCCTTTTTAGCTTAAAATACAATTACAATTAGAGCTCTGCAATTGCATTCTTACTTGTAAAAACTGAATTAGAGAGCTCTACAATTCAGCTCTTACTAGTAAAAATTATCATTAGAGAGCTCTCTAATTCAATTGTTTCTATAGTAACAGTTGAATTATAGAGCTCTCTAATTCAAATTTGACTAGTAAAAATTAAAGTTAGAGAGCTCTTTAATGCAATTTGTACTAGTAACAATTGAATTAGAGAACTCTCTAACCGAATTAGAGAGCTCTGAAATTGCATTCTTACTAGTAACAATTCAATTAGAGAGCTCTACAATATCTATTCTTACTAGTAAAAACTGAATTAGAGAGCTCTTTAATTCAGTTACAGAGCTCTGCAATTAAACATATATCTAATGGTATTTTACTAGTAAAAATTGAATTAGAGAGCTCTGTAATTGCATTTTTACTAGAAAGAATTAAATTAGCTCTCTAATCAGAATTGTTACTAGTAAAAATTTAATTAGAGAGCTCTCTACTTGGAATTATTACTAGTAAAATTTACTTAGAGAGCTCTCTAATTGGAATAGTTACTAGTACGAATTAAATTGTAATTCTTACTAGTAAAAATTCAGTTGGAGAGCAATTTAAAAAGTCAATGGAGACATATGTATGGCAAGCCATTTTAGCTTAAAATAGTCCCAGCGTTACTCGTCGTAATTGCATTTTTACTAGTAACAATTCAATTAGAGAGCTCTACAATTAAATTCTTACTAGTAACAATGCCAATTACAGAGCTCTCTAATTAAATTCTTACTAGTAACAATTCCAATTAAAGAGCTCTACAAATGAATTTTTACTAGTCATATGTCTCCATTGACTTCCATTCATTTTTAATTACAGAGCTCTACAACAGAATTTTTACTAGTAATAATTACAATTCGAGAGCTCTCTAAATCAATTTTTACTAGTAATAATTCAAATTAGAGAGCTCTCTAATTCAATTGTTACTGTAATGGCTGAATTAGAGAGCTCTTTAATTCAAGTACAGAGCTCTGCAATTAAACATATCTTTAATGTGGTTTTTACTAGTATAAAAATTAATTATAGAGCTCTGTAATTGCATTTTTACTAGTAAGAATTAAATTAGAGAGCTCTCAAATCAGAATTGTTACTAGTAAAAATTTTAATTAGAGAGCTCTCTAATTGGCATTGTTACTAAGAATTTAATTGTAGAGCTCTTTAATTGAATTATATAGTAAAAATGCAATTACAACGAGTAAGACTGGGAATATTTTAAGCTAAAACGGCTTGCCATAAATTACAGTCTTGCAAAGTCATAGCCTAATTGTGTTAAACAAAAGAAACATAAGATTTTATGACAACTACTATTGTTTAAATATGAAATGTAGTTCAGTTTGAAATAATCATGTTAATTCTAAATTGGTATTATAGTTTGAATCTAATTAGTTTCTTTTTCCACCTTTTTTTCTAGAGGTGAATCCCCAATTAGAGGTAAAATTCAGAGGGTTTAAAACCATTTACTACTTGAAAAAAGGCTGCGCCAGTAGCGCCTGTGAGGGGGTTGAAATTTTAAATGATCTTGCGGTCAGTTCTGGTCTTCTTAATTCCTTTGACATACTTTATAGAAACTATATAAAGTGTCTTCCCACTGATCGTTGTGATTTCTTTCTAGAATGCAGGGGAGGAGGGATGTGCTTTGCTGGGACCAACCTGCACTTACGCCACTTTCCAAATGGTTGAGTATGTTAGATTTTACTTTTACAGATCTTTGTCTGTATTTCCTTGGTTTCTTGCTTTAGATCTTGCTATAGATCCTCAGAAGATCCTTAGGTCTGCCTAAATCCTTAGAAATCCATTTCTTGTGAAAAAGTTAATTTTATTATCTAATTATTATATCTATTGATATAATATATGATATATATTATATCTATTATCTAATTTTATTAACTTTTATTATTTTATTAACTTTATGCACTTGTTGGTATTTTGAATCTTAAAAGTATATTTTTTTAAAAACTGGACTTGCAGATAATATAAATTAAATAAAAGTCCACTTTAATGAGTTTTGCAACACTTGCACTTTTCAAAATTGCACTTTGTTATAGTTTCCAATTAAAAGTTTTACATTTACATTTTAAATCATTATGTTTTAGTAATCTTTTGTTGTGCTTTAAAGAAGTATTTTGATGTCTTGATTAACATACTAAACCACAGGATTATAATTTTAACTGTAGTGTTTTATTCAATATTACATTTAAAATTAATATATTTTAAATATACTAAACTGCAGCTATTTAAATACATGATGAATGTTTCAATAGAAATTACATTAAAGTATATTTAAGTTTACCATAAATACATTCAGTACATTTAGCAGTTACACTTTAACCCTATTTCAAAGACAATAGAAGTAATTTTGAAATGACATATAAAACTTTACTTAAGTTCGTCAAAAAAGCAATCTTAAGTTCAAGGAGTTGAATTTATATAGATTTAAATAATACATTTTCAATAACATCCATTTAAGTGTTATGATATGAGTTATGGATTAAGTTATTAACTCAAACCATTTAGAGTAGCAGATTACTACTTAGAAAGCAGGTACTGTTGACCAACTAAACTAAAAATAAAAAATATGCTATTTAATGACTGAAAGTTAGTGTAAGATTAGAAAACGATCATAAAGCAAAAACTTTGGTCAATTTCCGTGCCATCTGAAACTGAGTTTACTGTAGCTGGAAGAACATGTGATTTGTGTGTGACCACTTTTGTAGTCTTGAGATTGGTCTGAACCTCAACATGCCCATCATCTCAGCCGGAAGCTTTGGATTGTCTTGTGAC